CATCCTTCTCTCAAAGCCCAGTTTTCCTGTGATTAGTTTTTAAATTTCTTATGTCAGTTTTCAGTTAAGCATTTTAAGGTAACACCATTTAAAAACAACTGTTGACAGTTTAACACAGAACAGTATAATCTGTTTGGGTATTTACTCATCAGTGAAGCCATTACAGACAGACAGAAAGAGGCACTAGCAAACATGTAGGCAGAAAATACTTTTAGCAACATCAGCAACAAGAAGGCCATGGTTGTGCACTGTACCAAGCCTTGTAGAAGTTGCACAAACTTTGCCATCAGAGTAAGGAAAAATCAAGAAACAAACTTGGGCATCAGAGCTTTCTTGTGGAACTATGCTTTTACATTTCAGCCTTTCGTTAAAGCAAGAAGTAAAGGATGATGGCAGCTTCTCTTTTCCTGCCCACCTTTCCTCCTACACCATAGGAATAAATTATCACTGATTAAATTAATATGCTACATTTTACAATTAAGTGATCACTAGCAATAAAGAAATATAATGCACATTCATAGTAATTGTAGAGCACACTCAACACAAACTTGGCAAATTTTCCCACACATCTGCTTATTCCCTACACACAAGTAGTAAGGATAATAGTCATTTGGACCCACTGAACATCGCTAGAAACAAAGTGAGAAAACGCTATTTTTTTAAAAAGCTTCTTAGCCTCTATATAGATTTAAAATCTACTGCTTTCTAAGCTGCCCATCATACAGCAACTGTTTTCTTTTTACAGAGATCTATCCTTTTCATACGATGTTCTGATTTTGTACCTATTCTATAGATGTCAATCAAAAAACTGTTAACACCATTTATACTAATGCAAAACACAAATATATCTGTTCATTACATACTGTATTGAAGCCATGGGATAAAAAGAATAAACTAGAACACACAAAGAAGATGAGGGTATGCTTGTTTGTACTTGGTAAAACTCCTAAATATTTTGAGCTTCCAAGAAAAAGAAAAAGAAAAAAAAAAAAGAAAAGATTAAAAAGAAAGGGTGTTACACTGGTGGGTTTTTTGTTTTTTTTTGCTAGAAAATATTTGTCAGTATATTTTTTTCCATAGGAAAAAATCTGCCAAGAATTTATAATATCTAGGAACTGTAGAACATGTTGTTTCTGTATTTCATTATACTGCATGTAAATGACATTATAAGAATTACTTATTCCACAAGTAATGGCAGAATAAATATTGTATAGAAGCTGGGTCTTTGTGAGCATATGCAATATACTATACAGCTTTCACTTGGTCTTACCTATGTGCCCAATAGTGGGTAAGAATCATGCTGGAATCTAACTCTCAGTGGATTACAGTGAGGTTCAGTAGCCAGGTTTTGGAGCTGATTTTATCATAGAACAAAATAATGAATTGGCCACACATATTTAAGGGACTAAAAGTAAGATACCAAAGGATTGGACTGAGTCACTCTTAGTAAAGGAGAAGTTAAAATTACAGAGAGATCCAGTCTAGTTAATAGCAATTAATATACTTGTATATATGAAAAACAAAGATAACGGAACAAAAGCAGTGGTACAAAGAGCTTTTCTCAGATGCAGACACTGCAGAAAAGATGACACCAGAGTTCATTGAAGAGCCGGAAAACAAGTGCTCTTCCACCCTTGTTCTCTCCTCATAAGCAGGAGAAAGAATACCATGAGCCCTATTTTTCTATCCCTACCACTATGAAGGAAAACAGTTGATCCAAAACTACGTGAGACTACAGAAAATGTGTGGCACAGAAAAGAGAGGTATTTTGAAATTAATACACTAATATTTTAAAATTTTAAAGAGCCTTAAATCAAAGCAAGGACAAATTCATTATTATAGTCTTGCTACAGTTGTAAAACAATGCATAGCACGCAGATTGGCCACAGGCTGGAGTGCAGAAAAACATTAGCTTCATGTAAGCATTGACTAATGGTTGTAGAGATTCTTATATTAATAGAAATCACAGAAATTTGAGAACTAAAACGTTTATTATGTCATCTAATCTATGTAGTTGGCAGGAAAGGATTTGTTCCCTAAAGCATATTTTATATGGTTTTATTCAATCCAATTTTAAATGGCAGAGCAATGAAGCTTCCACTGTGTTATTTAAGAAAACTGCTTTGTTTATTGTTAGAATTAATTTGGCCAGCTTTAGCAAACATGCTCAAGATGCTGTTCTTAATAAAAATATGGAATGCCCTCAGTAATTTATGTTAGCATTAAATTGCCAGTGAATATCTGATCTATAAGTTCTGTTGAAATATATCTTTACATATAGCAGGCTGTTTTTTTAATATTAAGAAATGCAGGAATCTCTAAGCTGTTGGCAGTTGGTTTCTGATGCAATTACAAAATTTTATCCAAATTGATGTGCTTTAGTAATCAGTTCAATACGATTCATAACTCAGCTTTCTTAAGTTCAAGTTAAATTTCTTAAAGTTAAATTTCTGAATGATTTTTTTGCATATTTCCAAGCTCAAGTAGGGTTGAAATACCAGGAGTTACATTTTTTTCACAACATTTTTATATTATTACTTCTTCAAGAATTTGGAATTGACAAAAAAAAAAACCCTGAAAATTAGTGATAAATATTCTTTTAGTATTGATGTCACATTTGAAAATATAATATTGCTCTTATATGGAGGATTGGTAACATTGAAGGAATATTTTACAATAGAATTCAACCTGATTTTTCACGCAACTCTAGCAAAATTATACATCCGCTGTAAATTTAGCATGCTAAAGAAGATATTCATATATAAATGTAATACGCTCTGACAAAGCTTCCAAGAGAGACTTGATTTCTTAGATTGTATCTAAAATTAGTGTTGGCTGTATATATCGATTACACAGACACACACACATATATGGATAATTTAATATTTTCTTTGCTGTTTGTGGGAAATATACAACTAAGCTGCAGATTCAGTTACCTCAATGTAAGGTTTGTGCCCCTAAACCATCTGGTTTATATGGGAAAAAAATTACAGTATTAAAAGACTGAAGTTAAATCCTCTGTAAGAGCACTTTTTCAGTGGAGAATATTTTCCAAAGTCATAAGGAACATACTTTAAAAAAATCAGCCATTTAATGAACTATGGTGGAATCTGTATTTACTGTACATGATACCATCTTTGTGGCATACGGAGATTGTCTTTCTGTTTGAGCTGCCTAAAATATTACGCTGGTCTCAACCTTGGAAACATTTCTTAAGTATTTACTGTACTATAACAGAGATCTTTTGCCAGAAGAGTCACTGCAGAGCCTTGGGCTCTGAGGGGGCTTTCCATATTAGGGGTTTTCTTGCTCTGGATTAAGCATGCCAACAGTAGTTAGTTGCCGTTCTGTATTTAGAACTGGTTTACAGGGATGGATTTGGGTAAGAAATGATGAAACTTCTTGTATTTCATTGAGCTAAGCTTACTCCCACAAGACAACTTAAGGAGACATTCGTTAAGAAAACTCTCACAAAGTATTCAGTGCTACATGAGCTACAGCAGATTTCTGAATGCTTCAATAATTAGGCACTTTTCCACTGCAGTTCTAATGGCCCCAAAAGACTGTGTCGACTGTGCTTTTAAAATATATATGTATATATATATATATATAATTTATTTTTTTTTTACACTTTACTGGATAGTTACTGTAGAGATCCTCAAAAATGACTAACAATATTTAAATAGAAAAATAGTGAACTAAACTATCAGCTTATATAATATAATTTCAGGAAAATACCAAACACCTTTTTAATCATGAGACAACATCCTTCTACAAAATAACTTTGTAACTCCACTTAATTAAAGCAAAGCAAAATACATTTCATTTAATTTATAATAAAAATTGCATAGCAAATCCAAGCAGAACATTCAATTTTAAGGTTAGCCCTTAGGTCACTTAATTCCTATAGTAACTTTTTAATGTCCAAATTCCCTTTCTGTACCATAACTATAAAGCACCAAAAGACTTCTCCCCTGGTAGCAGTAGCAGTGCATAATCCTAGCATGGCCACCTGTCTGAGTTTACCATGTAATCCCATAATATACGACATCAGTAGTGGCTATCTATAATCTTGTATTTATTTGTCATATCAACACTGTAGTTTCAATGTTCTAATGATGTCACCCAATAAGCTTTGGAGTTTTCTTGAAGATGCCAGGAGCTATAAACAGAAGTGTGAACTCTTGCAGGTTTATTTAATCCTACAGCCGCTGAATCCTTATTTGCAGTAGTTTGAGGTATGCTACTTCTCATGCAAGCTCACTAAGTCTGAAGCTAGGTCAGGCCAAAGGAAAGAAAATAATTTTTTTGTGATAAAACACAAATAAATTAGATCTAATCCTGATCTGTAAAAATAATTTTATTTCTGAAGTTAAAAAACAAAATAATCAGAAGCGTATTCACAGATCAAAATAACATGTGTAAGAAGCAGTGAAGAACCACCTCACAAAACTTTCAACTTGTTGCTCTTCAGACTTGAACCTTTCCTATCAGAAAAGTCTTGTGGATTAGTTGTACTTTAATCACTCAACTGCATGTTCCAACCAGCCAGCCACTTTTCTCCGAAAGGTGCATCATTTCATGTACGAAATCTCTGCCATTCAGACATAATCAAGTAAAGCAACCAAGACCCATGTTCCACATATAAACAGTTTTATAATTCCAGAATACTCTGAGGGACTACAGAGCTGTAGGAAAACAAAACAAAACACGCACACACACAAAAAGTTTTCAGGGGCTTAAGCTGCTCCTCTTTCATAATAAAGGCAATTCCACACAAAACTTCAGAAAACGTAGATGGCAAAAAGGAGGAAAAGAAAGTCTCAGTACAAGCAGAAAAAACTACATTCTGAGCACAAAAATCACCTAATATGTTAGCAGAATACGCAACATTCAATTCTTCCTCTTCTTTTTGTGTGCTTGCATAAGAACTTTAAGCAAACAAATAGGATATAAAGTTCTTAATGTCTTCAGTTGAAAGAAACAATAGCATCACTTACCGAAAGATTGGTCTTTGGAGATGCTTTTTCTTGATTGTAACACAATCATCCATTTAAAGAGGGAAAAAAGACTTCTTCCAGTGAATAACTCCAAAAAGACCAGGGAGTAATCAAGAAACTTGTTCTTTGCTACTGTGCTGCAGAGAGCACACAGAATGATATTTTGGTGCTGGGGGAAGCCTCCCTCCCTCTTTCTGACAGTTGAGCAGAAAAGGGCCATAGAGGCCACATAAGACAGGCACGGCTGTGCACCAGCAAACCCTGCAGGCTGAGCAGAACTGGAGGCAAGTTGATCAAAGCACGGAGTTGTACTGGATTCCTTTCAACTGTGCAGGAAAAAAAGGGGAGCTTTGCCAAGTGCTACCTAGGTAAAAATGTGTTAGATTATTCCAGCCATGCGAGCACTTCTTACACATGCTGGTCAAAGTCTTAAATGCAGAGTCACTCTCTCCCTCGCTCTTTAAAACACACTGTTCCGAGGCTCAACTTTTTTTCTTCAAAATAAAAGTTGTGCAGCTGTTTCAGCATTCCCATGCGAGTACCTTCAGAAAGTTTGTTCTGGTAAAAGAACTGTATACAAATTAATGAAGATGGATGGATCTGGTCTGTGAGGCTGGCTCCACTTCAAGAGATTGTAATTATTTTACAATCTGGCTTTTATTCACTCTGGATGATGTGTGGATATAACTATGTAAATTAAAGCACTGCTCATAATTTTTAGCATTCATAACCTAATAACCTAGAGTTGGCTGAAGCTGAATATGGTGTTTGCAGCTGGTAGAGCCATAACTACATAAAACAAACCGACGCTATGTGAATGAGGAAAACAAAGCTGACCAAGCTCTGATAGGGACAGTAGCAAACTGTTACTGTTTGCAAGATAAGATTTCAACAGAGATCCAAAGTCAAGAGCTTTCTCTGACATCATGCTGACATAAATCAGGAAGAATTCAACTGCAGCAAACAGAGGTTGTAAAGAAAACGGTAAAGCAGGAGCAGGATCATGGCTCTTGATGGACAGGTCATGAGTGGCTCAGCTGAGCCACCATTTCCAGGGGACCTGCAGGGCTCTGTAACAAAGCACTGCTGGCACAGGGCCCAGCAGGAAGCATGAAGCCTGGCCAGAGAAGCAGAAAACAAGCATCGAGCCCTCTTCTGCATGCAGCTGCACAGCCAGGCTGCACAGCGCTGCAGAGCCCTCCTGCAGAAGAGGAAGGGCCCTGCCACACAGACCTTCCCTGCAACACAGCTCCCGCCTGCTCAGTTCTCAAAACGCACTTAGCATGTGTGAGGTGATGTTTCTGAGGTGTGACAAGTGGATCAGCAAGGCCAGGCATCTTTGTAAGAGGGAGAGCAGAAGAGCTGTAAATTTACATAGCTGGGTGTACAGCACTGGCATTATCAAATTAAGCTTGAGAGATGCACTAAGTCTGAAAAAAAAGCAAGATAGGTAACATTGATACATGTCTTAGGCTGTATATATGACTAATTCACATATACATTATGGTAAAATTATTATGAATTTCACAAATTTTCATGAAATAATGATACGTAACAATGGAGAGATAACCAATATCATAATAATATGTGTTCTCATATATGACAATATAGGAGTTTGGCAGATTTTATTGAAACAGATATAATTTCTTCCTAGATCTAAAACACACAGCTTAGAGATCAGCGTGGCAGCGCAAAGTTTGGTTAACCATCCCCACACTATATGGAATAACTGCCATGACACAGTCACAGCGCAATTATCCAAAGGAAAAATGATCACATGGCTGCTGATTCAGTTTTACCCTGCCCCACTGTTTGTTTCTACTACTTTGAGGAGAGAGCGACACCTTCATTAGGACATCAGCTATCTTGATCAGATTACAGGTTAGCTTTTGCCAGGATCTTAAAGGATCTGAGGATCTTTCTTCAACAACATGCAGTGTTCAGAGTGTTGTCTTATTTATGAGCATTTCATACAGTCATGGTCTTACTTATTCTTGCCTGTCAAGACTCACATTTTTCTTCATGCATTCTTCCGGTTCTGGATTTCAGTTTTTCAAAATAATTTGCTGCTTTTTGAAGTATTCACTCACTGACTGTAGTCCAAGCTGCAAATCACAAAGAAATCTCCCTTTTCATTCTGTTTCATATTATGTGTGTAGGGCTGCTGTACTTCTGTTATCCAAAGGAATTCAGAATAATGATCTTGATGTCTTCTGAAGTTTTCAGGGAAAAAAATCTTCAAGTCCTCAGTGAGAGCAATCTCAAAGATGTTTTTCCGTTGAACACAATCTTTCATCTTGTAGTTTTGCCAGTCCTGAAACCCCAAACACATCTTAAAAGTAGTTTTTTTTTTCTGGGCCTAGTCCAGTGAATGTTGTTGTCTGTGGGATTTCACTCAAGCATGGCAGTGAAAAAAGTACTATTCAGGGGTGCTGAAATTCCAGCAGTACAATTACTTCAGCTACAAGGAATTCAAGAGTTGTTAACAAATATAAGAAAAATAGGAATATAAAATAGCAACAAAACTTTGATTTAATTGTATTGTTTTTCCTCTTCCAAACAGCCTTTTTTTTTTTTTTTTTTTGCCCACTCAAGAGTTTTTGTTCAACATAAGAATCTGTTGTTTTTCTCATTAAAATATTCAGAAATCAGTTCAACTTGTTGACTGAGTATGCACACAAATTCTTCAAAAGAAAGGATTTTAAGAAAGATATGATAGATTAATTAGACTGAAGCCTCACAAAAATAGGGTTCCATCAATATGGAGATTTGTTGCAATAGTTATTTGATATCTAGTATTATTTCTCAAGCCAAAAGACACCATGTGAGCCAAACTATTTTACTCTGCTTGTTTTAATGCTACATTTTTCTCATTGATCTGTAGCTCATTGCCAGAAGTCTAGAAATGTAATTATTTTTCCTACTGTAATTTCAAATCTGTTGGCAATTAAGGCAGTAACTAAGAGGTTTGACATTTAAAGCTTTAATTCATTATATGCTATAATCTCTGCTCTGCTTCCATAATAAAGCGAGGGGTCAGATACTCTCCCCTGTTGTTTAAGAAGTAAGACAGCAAATGGAGAGCTAAGTTTCATGGGTCTGTTTATTTTCTGGATTGATTAGAATAGGGAAAAGAAAAAGAAAAAAAACATACTTCTATATATATGTGTTCATGTTTTTGAAATGGAGCGATTTGAAATATAATAACCTAAAACAGAGCTTATGCCCAGATTGTTATTTTACTTTTCTGTACAGAATCTCTTAGCAGTTCATTGTTTAAGATTTTTGTAAAGAAAATAAATCACTAAGTAAAGCATGAACAGGAAACTTTACAGTAAGAAATCAGTGTATCTACGTATCTCCTAACAAGATTAGCATTTAGGTACTTAATATTACTGGATTAAATCCTTTTCTTAAAGACTGCACACAGGCTGAGCATCTAAACACCATGCATAAGAAACAGTAGAGGCTAAAGTGAAATTTTTGAAATCCAAATATGCCACTACTGTCACACTTGCAAGGCCAACGCAAGGTCTCTCAAGGCATTTGAAAAGGCACAATCGCTGTTACAGGCTGTTAGTGATAATGTAGGGGGTGTGCCTCTTAGCACCCCTTTTGCCTGCTTCCATTTCACAGGCAGGCACTCCTGAGCCAGTAAAATTGCCCAGCTATGTGACATCAGGTACTGTCCCCAGACACAAGTTAAATGCTATAGGAGATGCTACGATTGCCTGCCACACAAAGGCTGAACTTAACAGAAGCCTGTAATTCTTCATTTAAACTACTACCTTCTCAAATTGCAGTTGTATAATGGTTTAGTAACTAAATAATAGTTAGTCACACTCTGCATATAGCTACCCATATTACTCAGCACAGGTCACACTGTCACAGATCAGCCTGAATGCTTTTTTCACTTAACAGCTCTATGAGGTAAGCATTAATCTTATTATGTTCTGCATACATAAGTGTGTAGGACAGTGTGTCAATTTATTTCTTTGCGCTGACGTCAGCAAAATCCACTGAAGTTAACCTAGTGACTTCTCCATGCTAGAAAAACTAGAAAGAACTGGAGATAACTGTGACTCATTCAGAGCAGATAGAAAAGTTGGCAGTCGCTCCTGGATCTACTATAGTGCAAGTGGTAAAGTTCTATACAAACAGTTGTGCAGGTCTTTAAGATCTGGCTTCCCTTTTTACCCCTTATATGTAAGAATATTTATAAAATTGTGTTCTCTCTTGCTTTCCCTGTTTACATGCACACACAAACCAAGCAGAGGATTACCTCAGTGCCGTCGCACAGGAGATTAATTTCCTTACTGAGACTTTCCTACTCAGAATACAGCACAGTAACTTGGTTTAAGAAGCTTCCCAGTTCTTCTCTTTTAATTTTATATTTTTCTACATCTTAAGGCCTGAAAAAATCAGGGGCACTGTTGCACAGAAAAATCTATAGCACCTCATTCTTTAATACCTCTTACAAATGTTCTTCATAAAAACTAGCATTTCGGGGGAGATGGGTCACCTAAAAGCCTCTGAGTCCCAGCATGGTACTTCCCCAGAGTATCTGAGCAGTCACTTCCTTTTTCAGATTATTTTGGATGTAGTCAGTCATCACCTGTAATACTACAGAAGAGTTGCTCTGCTCCTGTAGGAGCAACTCCATAAGGTGACTCATCCAGCATGTCTTAAACAGGACAGGCTCACTGAAAATTATATTTTGAACTTGTATAATCATTTCACTGAGGCAGAAGTATTTACCAGATAATCTTCAAAGTAATGAAGATAACAAATTTTCCTGCACAACACTGAAGGATGGTATCTAGAGTCCCCCTACATAACCATGAATGAAGAAGCATCTATCAGTTTTTTCTAACCAAAAGGCAACAGAATAGGTGTTAAGACAAGGAGACTAGTTGAAGCAGTTGTTGAAGTACAGACTGCAGCTCTGCAAAATACAGAACAGAAGCCAGAATACAGACCAAGGGACATACTCTGAAATACTTGACTATAGACAAATAGATATATGAGTAAATACATCTATATCTGACATATAGACATTTATCCATCTGTAAATAGATATTGGAATTTATCAATACCAGGAAATGAATACCAAAAATATAAATAGCAATGTCTTATAAGGACATTGATTCTCCAGATCAATATAACTCTTCTGAAGACCATGAGCAGTATCACAGTTGTATTTTCAATCCTATTTGTGAATACTATGATTTTATACCCAGCATCTTTAGTGAACAGATGTAAAGAGAAGAGAGAAAAGGAGGGGAAATAAAACGGATTTTCCTTTGGGATATATGATGCTAAATTAGCACTAAAATACACAAATCAAAACATGGCATTCCTTGGTTTTGAGCCAGAACATTAGTATTGGCCACAGTGGAAGGAATTGGAGTTTCTATTGGAAAACACTATAATTGATCTG